GTGTGTGTGTGTGTGTGTGTGTGTGTGTGTGTGTGTGTGTGTGTGTGTGTAGAGGGGGTGGTGGGAGAAGAGAACTCAGGTGTGTTGTGTGGAAGTCAGGACAAGTTCCAGGGGGCCAGTTCTCTTATACCTTGCTGAAGCAGGGTCTTATTACTTCTGCCATTCTGTATACTCCAGGATAGATTATCTGCAGAATTCCCAGTGATTCCCATATCTGCCTCATGGAGTGCTAGGAGTGCTAGCATTACAGATCTAGGTCAGCAGGTCACCACAGTCATTATTTTACACATGGGTTCTGAGGGTTGAACTCAGGTTGTCAGGCTGAATGACATTTTATTTTCTGAGCCATCATTCCAACCCTAGTTTAAAATATATTGTCAATTCTCTTAAAAGAATTTTAAAATTACATTTATTATTTTGTGTATGGTCACATGTACATATCACAGCAGTCAAATGGAAGTCAAAACAGTTGTGGATTCTCCGTCCACCATGTGGTCCTTGGGATCAAACAGTTCATCAAAGGCAGAAGGTCAAAAGTTTGAGGCCAGCCTATGATACATTGTAAGACATTGTCTCCAGGACTAGGGGATGGTCAAAATATTTAAATTTCCAGAATAAAATGTGAGGTTAGTCTCACCTTTTCTTACATTTTCTTTTTCTGTTACTGATTTTACACGGTTGGGTTTTTTGGGGGGGCGGGGATTGTAGGGATGGGTACTGGCTTTCAGATTTTTGACCGTTGCAAGTGTGTGTGAATCTGTGATTTTTGCATGTACTTAGCCAGAAATCTTAGGATGAGTATGTAAGTGGTCTACTAGCATGCTACAGAGAATATTTATCATATAAATAGCTTAGTGAATTCTAAGGGATACATTTTAAGAATTGGAACAAGGAATTCTTTCTGATCTTTTTAAAGTCAGTATTTGTCTTAAAGGATGTACAGTCTGAATATGGTTTAATGTTTTGATGGTCAGTGGTTATGCTGCTGTAAATAGAGTGGATGTTTATATATCATATAATATAATATATATAATATTATTTATATATATATTATTATTTATTGTTTTTTAAAATAGGTTAAAACCTATTTTCGGTTTATATCCTGATAAATCTTGCTCCAAGTATGCTTGCTTGTACTCACTTTTTTCTTCTGATTTGGTGAATTAGATGTCAAATTCACTGTTACTGTTAGGTGAACACACATGTTGTTAAGGATGTAAAATGGTCTTATGGCTTTAGTCCTCTCCTGGCTGAGAACATAAGTGTTGGTGTTTGATGGCCTGAATTTTGTGTGGTGGGTTTGTCTGACAGACTTTCTATTGTGGCTAGATTTTGACTAAGTCCTAACCTAGTCACTGCTTTGCTGGAGGAGAAAAGCAATGCTTGAGAAATTGTGATAGAAAATTCTTATTTAAAATGTCTTATTTCACAGCTCAAAGTTATGAAGTTTCAAGATGAATTGGAATCTGGAAAGAGACCTAAAAAACCAGGCCAAAGCTTCCAGGAACAAGTCGAACACTACAGAGATAAACTGCTGCAGCGAGTAAGGAATATGTTTATTCAGTAATGGCATTTCCACAGTTAGCTATCTGTAGACTGTTAGGGTAATAGCATCCTAAAAGGAAGCACATTGCAAACAGTAGTCTTTAATGTATAAATATTAGATGGCAATTGGAAATGTTTTATTCTGGGTACTGCCCATGCACTAGACAATCCTGCTAAGAATATACTTTCAGAACTGGAAAACCCTATGGGAAGCCATTACAGTAATCCTAGGAAGTAACATGAATGAAGATGAAGATGGAGATGAGGTTTGAGAAGTACTGCTCTTGGGATGGTAGTAAAAGGTGGAATACTTACTGCATCAAGGAGTGGTGGGCTTAGGTACAATGTAAGAATGTGCAGAGCACCAGCACTAGGACCCTTATGGTGATTGTGGAAATACCCAGGACTTCCATTGGAATTGCTATTTTATCTGGTACCTTGGCCATCATTGCAGTGATAGTAACAATATCAAACAAGAAAAAGGTATGCCCAGGAGCCTACAGGTACAGAATGGGTGGCAGGAAACTGCCTAGTAAAGTGACTGTATAGCTAGCTGGGCTAGCCTATGGAATCCTATACCATTCTCTGTTGTGTACCATTGGAGTTTTCTCTAATAGATCATAGTTAGGGTTGATGTTATTGTTGCTCTGTGGTGTTAAATCAGAATGTTTAAAATAGATTAATTGTAATTATAGTTTCTATAAAATGTATAGTCAGTCAAGAAATAATTTTTTTCATTCAGGAAAGTGTATACTGCACATCGTTAAGAGAAGTTGGTCTCCTTTGTATCTCTTTAGATTTGTATTCTGTGATGTATTTGGGAAAAAGATAAATTACATTATTTAAAATGGTACTAGTTGTCTGTACCCTTTTGAGTGTTTTTGGTGATGATATCAGGTTAGTAGTGTTTATGGAAGTTTACATGTTGAAATGCTCTGTGCATCTCAGTGGCAACAAACTAAAAACTAGGTCAGTTACTATTTTAGCCCCCTATATTCCATGAGTGTTAATTGGAGACAAGATTCTGTTTCTGCCAGGCCCATGCTGAAGGTCAAGCTATGCCTCTTCACCTAAGTGTTGTCTATGTGGTTTTTTTTTTTTTTTTTTTTGCTGCATAAATACAGTTGAGTAGTTGTTAAAAGGACTGTATATAACCCGCAAGTGTGTTTGGTCTGGCTCTGTAAAAAGTTTGCCTGTGTCTAGTTATAAGATTTTCTTACTTTTTAAAAATGAGAAGCAGCAGTTAGATAACGTTTTTGATGCATGCCAATCATAAATATCTTTAGCCACTACTTTATTCTACCATCAATAGAAATTAATTTTTTTTAAAGTTTTATTATATATAGAGAGTTCTGCATGCATGCCTGGAGGAGGGCATCAGATCTCATTATGGATGGTTATGAGCCACCATATGGTTGCTGGGAATTGAGATCAGAACCTCTGGAAGAGCAGCCAGTGCTCTTAAGCACTGAACTATCTCTCCAGCCCCCTAGAAATTAGACTTTTATTGAAAAATATTCGTTAGGACAACTAGGGATAAATAAGCAGTTATTTTTCTGGTTTATATAAATATGTTACTATATAATCAGTTTGTAAGTTAGGATTACATTTCCTTTTATAATTACTTTGGTGAGAACTCCATTTAGTGAACCTGCTATATACAGGCAGAATTGCTTTTATAACTAGGTTCTTGCAATCTGATGAAGGTCAGTGTGTTGCTTGCTAGCTTTTCCTGATTCATTTCTTCCTTCCTTCCCTCCCCTCCCCTCCTCATTTTGATGTGGTAGAGATGAAGGGATAGGAGCTCTTAGACTGAATTCCTGATTTTCTCTGGTAAACCATGGTCATTTCTGAGTCTGGTTTTCTTGTCTAGATTGAGAGTGATAATAATGTAAAAGATCACAGGATGATATGGTATATGGAAAATTGTAACTGTCTTGTTTGGGCTGTGATTAGCAGCCCTCAGTAAATACTTTGCTGCTGCACAAGAAGGGTGATGATGATTTTGTATATAAAAAATGGCTTATTGCCTGAAAGGGTATTTTTGAAAATGATATCTTACCTTAATTACTATTTTAAAAATTTCTAAATGAGAAAATATGATTAGATACATAAGATAGTCTAGATGACATTTTTAAGAAACAACTCAATATTTTTTTTAAAAAATAAAACAGGAAAAGGAGAAAGAATTAGAAAGAGAACGTGAAAGAGACAAAAAAGATAAAGAAAAATTGGAATCTCGATCCAAAGACAAGAAGGAGAAAGATGAATGTACTCCAACAAGAAAAGAAAGGTATGGCGTGTCATAGTTAATCTGCTTTGTTTCAAGATTTGAAGTGCTGTTTGGTTTTAAACTATTTCTGTCATCAGTAGCAACAAACCAGAAGTGGATTTCACGATAAACATGTTTGGCTTCTGCCTCTAGGAAGCAGAGTTAGCTGATAGGCTCGGTTAGTTGCCACTTGGCCTAACTAATTAGGACATCATGTCTTTACTTGGGTTCATATGGTATTCTTAGCCTTAATTCACTGCAGGAATTCAATTACCCTATCGAGTATCAACCCTATGTCTTAAATAACAACTTGCTATATCTGCCTGTCGACTCTACTCTAAGCATCCTTTTTCCGTCTTGAAGGAGATTGTGTGTACAAGCTACAGTGACTTGCTAATCATGTTAAGTCCTTTGTTCCAACTTTTTAAGTTTCATATTTTTAATGTTTTAGTTAGTGTGTGAATGTTATTTTGTGTGAGGGTATGTATGTACCTGCCATTGTGCTCTTGTGGAGGTCAGAAGGCAACTGTGAGAGTTGGTTCTATCTTTCTGCTATGTAGATTCCAAAGGATAAAGTCAGGTTAAGTGTTCTTACTTGCTGAGCCACCTCACTGGACTGTGTTTCTTACTTTTATAGTTTTTAAATGTCTAATGTAGTGAAGCAGTTACTTCAGTGAACAGAATCGAAGTTTTCCACATTATAAACACCAAGTGGTTGCAAATGAGAAACCTGGCTTAATCACTCTGTATATTTATAAATAGCAAAATTATACAGATTGGTTAACAAAGAAATGGCACTTTTTTGTCTTTTATTATTTTGATATAATTTCAGTTTTATAGAAGTTGTAAATAATCCCCATGTACTTTTCATCCAATTGCTCCACCTCCTAAAGTGCTTCTACTTTTCTTTTTAGTTCTTCCCTTTCTACTTCACCTCCAACTTGTTAACTATAATTGGTCAGTATAGAGCCCAGTTTCCTGAGTCATGTAATTTCACTAAAAGTGCCACACTAAGAAGTTAGCAGAGGCAGGCGGATCTCTGTGAATTCGAGGCCAGCCTGGTCTCCTGAGCAAGTTCCAGGACAGCCTCCAAAGCTACAGAGAAACCCTGTCTGGAAAAACCAAAAGGAAAAAAAATAAAAAGAAGTTAGCATTGAAAAAATAAACCTCCATTGTAACCCAATTCAGAATGTCAGGTTTTCTTTGTCTTCCTAGTAATCTCTTAACAGCAAAAGAAAATTGAATTTCATTGAATTCACTTATTTTTTTGGGCATGCTGTCTTAAGATTTACTTGATGAAATAAGGGACATCGAATGTCATTGGGAAGTAGCATTAGTATGAATAGTGAGAGTTAAGTTAGTGTAAGCTAGGAGTGATTAGGAGCAAATTGAGTAGACATTAAAAATGAATACTTAAGTGTTTTTTTTTTTTTTTGTCACTTACAGAGTTTTATGTGGTTTGTTTTGTAGGAAAAGGCGACACAGTACTTCTCCCAGCCCATCTCGGAGTAGCAGTGGTAGGCGAGTGAAATCCCCATCACCAAAATCAGAACGGTCAGAACGGTCAGAAAGATCTCATAAAGAAAGCTCACGGTCCAGGTCATCTCACAAAGATTCTCCTAGAGATGCTAGCAAGAAAGCCAAAAGGTAAATGCAAGTCACCCTTTTGTTATCGTCACCAGTTAACTAAGAGTTCTACAAGCTTTGGAAATAATGTGGTTGGCTTTTTTTTTTTTTTAAAGATTTCAGAAAAACAGAGAAATGTACTTTTATTTTGGGTTATCTCTCATTCCCATTCCAGTTTTTGTCATGTTTCAAGTATAGAATAATTCCAGCAAGTTAAAGACTGGCCAAGGATTTTCACATGTCCACTGTTGGGAATGGGGTGCTCCTTTTTCATTCTAGTCTTTATTTCTGTATAATAAATAGCCTTAGATTTTGTCAAAGTTGATGAAAAGGAATAATCTACCCCACAGAAGTAAGTGTGTGGGTAAGGAAATAGAATACTATTTGGATCAGCTCTTCAGTATGCACTTTGATATTTTGTTTTATTTAAGCCTTTTAATTCCACAAAAGTGGAATTAAATAAATGTATTTGATGTCACAGAGGGAAATTTTCTTGAGCTGCACCTGAATTTATGTGCTAATACTTCGTGATTGTAACCATTTGCTGTGAAGTCTTTCTCCTGTTTAAGACCATACATACTCATATGTGTGTGGAGGTGTATATGTATGTGTATTTTTTTTGTTTGGGAAACTTTCATGAACAGAACTTAGCAAAATTACTGGCGCCAGATGGGGTGCAGATGACATTAATCCTGCTACCTGGGAGGCAGAGGCCAGCTAGGCCTACAAAAAACAAAAAATTGTGTTGTTTTAAATGATGACCTGGAGTAGGAGTTTTTTCCCCCTCAAAATTACAGAGTGTACAGCTTTTGTGCTTTTAAAATTGTGTGAATGTCTTAATTGTCACCTTGAACTTTATCTTGTGGATTACAATTTCAAATTTTGGGGGTATCAGTTACCTGGGGAACTTAATAAAAATGCACATTCTCTATAAAGCAATAGTAAAACTCAGAAATTTCTTTTTAAACAAATATCCTTCTGATCACACATAAATGGTAAGTACAAAATAAATCTGTGTGAGTAAATTTGAGTTTGCTGTTTTATTAGTGACTTACATGCCCACTTGAAGCTCATTTTAAGCCAGGTAAGAGTGTAAGCAGTTTTGGTAGCCAAATGCTTTGACATTGTTCTTGTTTGTTTATTTCTTCAGGTCGCCATCAGGTTCAAGGACGCCTAAAAGGTCTAGGCGGTCTCGGTCTAGGTCGCCTAAGAAATCAGGGAAGAAATCCAGATCCCAGTCCCGGTCTCCTCACAGGTCTCATAAAAAGTCAAAGAAAAACAAACACTGACATATATTTTTAAGATGCCGTCACTTATTGGAAATGCAAGTTTGTTTTGTGCCTGAATGGTCTGTTTGTTTTTTTTTGTTTTGTTTTGTTTTTTAATAAAAAACATACACACACACACACACACACACACACACACACACACATACACATACACACATACACACAAAAAAAAAACAAAATTCTAATGAAAGAGCATTCCTGGGTTTTTTGTTTGTTTGTTTGTTTGTGAATGCATGTGTAAACTCATGAGTAACTGCATCTGTAGACCTGTCATTGTTTTATATTGTATAAATTACTTTTGTTGTGGCTGTTTCTCAAGATGAAATTTTTATTGTGCTAATGAATTTCATCAGAAATGTGTACAATGGATCTGCTGGCAGTAGTAGTATTTTGTTTTAGGATATTGTGACTTAGACACATAATACAGATGTCTTCCCCTCTTTTGTAGCTTTGACAATTTGAATTAGATTTCAAATAAAATCTGAACAGAAAACAATAATGTTGTTTTTTTGCCCAATTGGTGACACCAAGTCCCTTAAAGACCTACTAAATGAATTTGGCACTGTTGCTGTTTCTTATACCTAGTGCACTTTACAAGCTCCAATGTTTACTGAGATGACTGACTACCAAAAGTAAGGGACACCCATAAAAGGTTTCCATACCCAGAGATCAGAAGGCGTAAGTGAGTGGGTATGAAGTGGTATTTGTTACTGTAATGCCCAGTTAAAAGTTCTTTTTCAAAGAAGCAACATGACTTCAAAGCACTCAATCCATCTTCTGAGCAATTACATATTTTTAGGGTAAATTTAATTTTTATCTTCTACCATGAAACAAGTTTATTTATAAAAGATTTTATAAAAACGATTTGCCATATAATTCTTTTGTATAATAGTTGCCTTTTTTATAATTGTCTGTAGGTTATCTTTAAAATATTGGTATCATGATATTTGTACAAATTTGTTTGAAACAGCTTTTCTGTTTTGAAGGATTTGGTTTGAAGTACAGCTTTAAATAAAAATTGAAAATTAAATGGTTTTCAGGAAATTTTAACACCCCATTGTTTGTAAATTCAAGGCACAAAAAGTTGACTTAAACCATTTGCAGAGTTGAATATTGTTATAAACAGGAAAGAACTTGCTGTAGTTTTAGGGAGAAATAGGAAAACTTGTGAATGTTGATCAAAATACCACAGTGAATATAATGTAATAAAGGGTTACATAGTCTCGGACTGACACTGTTGTTTGTCAATCTTGCTTTCAGTTTTTCACTTAGATACTTTATGTAGTTAGTTGTTTGTTTTCCTCTAATAATGGATTGTTTGGGTTTAATTTACTTTTTAAAATTCTTTCACCTTGTTCACTTAATCTTCCTAATCCCCAAATACGGCATCCTGACCTGTGATGTGGGGAGCAGTTACATCAGCTGTACAGCCAGGTGGCATGTTTTCCTCACCTAGCATATCTACAGCAGCTTTAGAAATGAGCTGTTCATACAGTTTGACATAGTGGCTCTTGGCATGAACATACTGTTCAGTCCTTGGTTTACCTACTTTATTAGGAAATGTTAATTCTGTAAAGTTGCTTAGGAAAATTTATGTGAACATTTGGTGCTGATACTTAAAGACATATATAAATATAACTGTTACAAAAGGATCACATTTTTCTCCCGTGTTCATTGTCTGGGAGAATGGCATTTTACATCATCTTTCTTTTCAGAAAAATAGTGTTGAATTGCTGGTAGTTGTGGCATTCCTCATTCTCTGGATCTTCAGATAGGCCAAGAAATAATTGGCCAGCAAGTGATTTTCTTTTTTAAGGCAAGTTAGGAGGGATAGTTACTGTTCTGTCTTGAGTACAAAACCTTAGCTTGGTTTTGTACTGTTTTTGTAGTGTTTTCTACTGCTGCAATGGATCCATATGTAACTATTAGAGTTAAATCTTGCAACAGATAGACTTTGCTTTCTTTTGGGTAGGTGGGAAATTACCTTAATCTAGAGTTCTTTAATGTGTATATTAGGTTGTGTTGAATTTTGTTTTCTTGAATTGTAAATAGCATTAACTAGGTTATTTCCAATTTTATTTTATGAGGAAACATCTAGAATATGCTGTTAAAATTCACAGTGTATTCAGGTGACACATACCTGTTATGCCAGCATAGAGGTCCGATGACTGTAAGCTCAGGAGTTGAGACCTGCTTGGGCAATAGACTGAGAAGATCCTGTCTCAAAAACATACTCCCTGTGTCATGGGATTAGGAACTGGTGCCTTTCTTACAAGAAGGAAGCTGCACATTTTTCCCTAGTGGCTTAGTTTTCATATCTAAAGACCACATAGCATAATTTTTGAGTTGATTTAAAATGTTCATAAGCAATCTGAGTTAAAGGAATGTGATTTCAGGTGTGTAACACACAGCTGTGTCCTCTACTAAATTACATGCTCCAGGAAACCCTCTTGCTGTCCATCCTTACAAAGGTCCTAACCCAGGGGTCCCTTACCGAGGCCATGATGTTTGACTTCTGAACACAGGTGGAAAGTAACATGTTGGTCCATTTCTTACCAAAGAGAGACCTGTGACCTAAAAGGGTTGTGTTGGTGGTTTTCTTTGGTACTGTATTTCTGTATTGCTGTGAGTCAGCATCTAGGGGTTTGTGACTGTATCGAGGTGGAGATTAAAGAACTAGGGGGGACAGAAAGCCCTGATCCCAGAGGATTCTTTTATTTGGCTCACAGTATTTTTGGCTTTTTTACTAAATTTTGCAGAAATTACTCTATGCTGTCCTAATTTTCTTTATTGCAGACCATTCCTGTGGGCTTAACCTGAGGATTATATTCCAGTTAAAGAGTGTTGGAGGGAGTATGTCCTTCTGACCTGTGTATTTTCCCATTTAATATTCTTGAGTACTTGAAAATACTTCAAAGAAATTTTGTTCATGATCAAATTTAGGTTTATCAGAAATATCCTATACACTTGCCATGATGGTGGTATAAGTTGTGAAAAATTACATGATTATGATAATAGTTTATCATGGCTAAAAATGAGGGCAGATAAGCCTCTGTTGCCAGAGTGGCTTAACCTATTCTGATGACCACACCAGTGTGGTTTCTTTACCAGAGAAAGTTGTTTTTCCTGATCCCAAAGGAAGCTTTCAGTTGGCTCACAATATTTTTCTAAAACAGTGTATTTTAAAGATAAACTTTTTGTTTATTTCCCCTCTTCTGCAGATATTTGTGAATAAGTTAAAGGGTCTTGTGATTAAAAATTCACATTAACAAAATGTTTGGTGTTTTCATATTTCACATGCATGTAGATTTTAGGGAGTGTTTATTACCTTTTCAGCTTTTTCTTGTTTTCTCAACTTGCTAAGATTTGGCTAATACATGAATATAAATCCCAGGGAAGTGTAATGACAGACAAAGAGGTGGGGATGAGCTGCTGTTCCAAGTGAGCCTTGTTCCATTGTTAAGTTTCAATGCCTCTATTGATTCAGTACCACCTCATGGAACTCCTGTGGAAATGGATTGTATGTGTACTAGTCGTTTGTATAGTTTTGTAGATAACATGTCCTCATTCACTTTCATATCTAATTGTGCTTAGAGGGTTGGTGTTTTATTCTAAGTTCAGCAGGGTCTTGTATGTTGTGTCTCTGGTAATCTGAAATAGCAGAAAAGACAGATTTTTACAATTAGAATGACATAGTTGAAAGTGACTCAGCTGAAGTGTCCTGAGTGGGATAGACTCCAGGCAAGGCCAGTAGGGCTGCTTTCCAGATGACATTAAAGATTAATCGCAAACAAAGCTAGTGAATTCACTTCTATTGCTGCTGCTGCTTCTTCTCTTTTGATTACTTAAATAAAATGCATTGTTTTCGTAGTGAATTTAGACTGTTTATGTAATTTTCTGTATACAGTGTTCTACCGGGGACCCTATAGGGTACTCTAGCTTTCAGCAGCTTTCTCCCATGCAGAACAGTGATGTGAAGAGCTGTGTCTATCCATTGTAGCTACAAAGCCGGGACATTTCATGCTCTTACACTCTCACCAGAGAGTTTCATGATAGCTGTTTCCCTATTAACTAGGAAATTTCATCCCCTTATTCTTTCTGTTAAGATAGTTCTGTTTATTTTTCTGAGGAAAACTTCAGCCTCCAGCATACAATGATGGCCATCTATCCGCCAACCTGTGTATCTCAGCTTGATAATTAGTGTATCTGTTTTGATTTTAAAACCCAACATGGTATCATCACACTAAAAAGTCACTGGTTCCTTTTTCAAGTTTGTTTATTTTTAGTTATGATAAAATGCTCTTGACAACTATTTACCATCTTAAGCATTTTTATCTGTACGGTTTGCTGGTGTTAGGTATATTCACATTGTTGTGCAAGCCAACCCATATTACTTTCATTGCAAAACTGAAACTCTGTACCCACCGAGTTTCCCTCTGCCCTGCCCCTTTCAGCCACATTCTGCTTTGTTGCTGTTTGACTAATCTAGAAAGTGAAATTTAAACATTTAATTAAAATTCTTTACCATTTATACAACATGGTGTGCTCTGTGGTCTCTCTAATGGTTTGTATGATGTAATTTTACACCAACACGTCACACCCTGGCATACTAAATGTACTTAGGAAGCAAACTTTTTGAAACCACTGTGGATTAATATTAATGACCATGCTCAGATGCTTTTCTGGTTCTGTTTGTTGGCTCATGGAAAGGAATGGAACTTTCCAGTGCTTGCTAAGCTTAAACTCATTTTGCTACAAAGAGGGGGAAAGATAAATTGCTGATTTTGGTTTTGAAGGTTGTTTTCCTCATCTTAGGTAACAGAGTGCTATCAGATTGTCTTAGAATAAAGAACCTTCTTTTAGGGCTTTAAAGCTTTGTGTGGCATGATATACAGTAGTAGAAGAGGAGGAAGAGCCTGGACTGTGGAATCAGGTTAGGATGTGTGTGTTGCTGTGTTTCTTCTCACCTGGGAGCTAATGGTGCAGCCACGTGTACACTGCCGCCATGGGACTGTCTTTAGTGGTGTTAAATAAGCATTCAGTATTCCTGGGAACTGATGGTGGAAGCAAGCGTCCTGTCTGAAGTAAAAACAAAGTCCAAAATACTCAATTTTTTAAAAAAAATCACTACATCGGGTTAACATTTCTTAACCTCGGTGATCTGTTGGTAAATGTTAAACACATCAGCCACTCGACAATCTGTTAGCCCAGGATAACATTATTGTGAATGCTGGACATGGTGGCACACACCCTTAGTCCCAGTTTGGAGGTAGGGGCAGGTGGATCTCTGTGAGTTTGAGGCCAGTCTGGTTTACATAGTTCCAGGCCAGCCAGAGTTACATGGTAAGACCCTGTCTCAAAACAATAACAATATAAAATAAAATATCTTTTGTCATTTACTGTTGTGGAGTTCTAGTCAGGATTTCTGAAAGGAGAAGCCTAAATATGGTGTGTAGAGTGAGCCTGGAGATGTCCAAGTTCAAAGTTGTTTTTTGTTTGTTTGTTTTTAAGTCTACACAAATTAACAGAGCTGAGCAAAAATACGCACTTTTTATAAACTTGACAGAACAAAATCCTCTAAGAAAATGAAGGTGGGCCAATTGGACATGATCACACTTGTATTTTATATGTATTTGCAAGTTGGAGTCTATAGCTTCAGATTGTGCAATAAGAAATGTGCCCTAAAACTACTTTTAGACTAGATCTTTAGCTATATGGAATTTGAAAAGGAAATTACACTTTAAATTCTATTCAGAAATAGCAGCTTTGTGGTAATGTCCTCGGGACTTTGGCAAAGCTCCTTTGGAGTTCTCAGAGCTGTAAAACATGAATTTGGAGGAGCCTAACTGATTAAAAACATCATACAGCTGAAACACCGCACTGAGTAAACACCTCACTACAGACTGACTTCCCATTGTGAGAAGTGGCATCAGTTGATTTTTTTTTAAGCATATTTTGCAGCAGTGCAGAAGCTACTGGGCATAAGCAGCTTATTAAAGTGCTCAGGAAACTGCTTTTCATCAAGTTTCCTGTGCTAACAATTCTAATAAAGGCTGGCATAGCCTTCACAAGCCTCCCCCAGACTGAAGCGAGGTATTAGACATTAGAAATGGTTCCATTAATAAGGAGCCATCTTTTCTAATTGCCATAATATTTAGGTAACATGAACCTAGGGCCTGTAAATTTCAAAATGACATGCTATGTGTAGCTTACATGTTTTATGTTATGTACA